GTCTTCAAAAAGGAGGAGGTTCTATTATTGTTTTGTGTGTCTTACTTCAGAACTTTTTTTTAGCTGAACCGATTTTGATGATTCTTTGTATTTTATTTCAAAACTGGTGCTTTTTATGTAGTCCTATAAATTTGATCAAGATCTGACCTGAAGAGTGGTTTTTGAGTTATCCTTGATAATTCGTGATTCATTGATTTCGACTATAATGATGATGTTCTCATTTTATTTATATTGAAGTCAATTAATAATATTGAAGGTTTTAGTTTTATTACTTGTTTTAAAGCATTAATTAACAATATAATATTATATCAAACGCTCTTTGATTACTGTTTACACTACTATTCGGACTTCAGCCGTTAACCTTTGATGTGTTCTCGTAATCATACCATCATCATAATCATATCATATCATCATCTATAAATTACTTAATACATATTATAATAACTTAAAATTAAAATAATAAAAATAAAAATGTATACAAAAACTTAGTTTAATAAAATTTTAAACTTTTTGTATATTTTTGGGATTTTGTTGTAAAAGCGTATATATCGCCCCACAAATGAATTACCGTCTCGCTGGAGTCGAGTAACTGGTACTACTACCTTGTGTCTGTTCCTAGTATTTATAGAAATATATATATATATATATATATATATATATATAAATATATATATATATATATATATATATATATATATATATATCACTTATCTTTGCAAAACTACTTTTATTTTTGTGTACGTACATTACATCTTCATAAATAAATTTGAGAGGCCATAGTTTATATATCAATTTCCTTAACTTTTTGTCTCAGCGACTCTCTAGGTTTTAAATCATATATTGCACTAATGGCCCTCTTCTGTAAAACAAATATAATTTCTGTGTCAGTCGCGTGTCCCCATAGCAAAATATCATACGACATTTTGCTATGCAAATAGCTAAAGTAATCTAGTCTAGCTGTTTCAACACTGGTAAGAGTCTTATCTTTTTTACAGCATATTCTGCAGAACTAAGTATGCTAGCTAGTTTTGATACATGGGGGACCCATTGAAGCTTTGCGTCTAGTGTGATTCCAAGAAAAATGGTGGTATCAACAAGACTCAGCTCCTCCCTATTTAAAATTACGTTAGTATTAACATGTTTGACTTTCGGAGTTACGAATTTCATACATTTAGTTTTAGTTCCATTTAAATGCAAATTTTAAACATTAAATCAGGAGGCTAACTTAGCTATAGCATTATATATTTCGTCATAATTTAGTAACCATCGTTTTAGTTTGAAAATTAATGAAGTGTCATCAGCAAATTATACTATATCATGGTGATCTCATACAACATAAGGTAAGTCATTAATAAATACAAGAAACCGAAAGGGGCCAGGAATGGAGCCTTGAGGCACGCCCATTTGTACTATCGACCCGGGAGAACTCATACTATTAATGACAACTTTTTGCGTTCTGTTAAATACGTGCGTGTTGTTGTTAAATATGAAATAATTAATTTAAGAGCATCACTTCTTACACCGTAGTGTTTATGTTTGCTGATTAATGTTTCATGGTGAACACAATCAAAGACTTTGGATAGGTCACGGAATATACCCAAAGCATCCTGTAAGTTCTGCCATACATTGAAGGTACATTAAACCCTTCGATAAAAATCCAATGCAGTCGCATGCGCCTGGCAAATCCAGAGCGGTTTCATGCAACCGCATCCACCGGAAGCACTTAAAACAATTAAAATCTATATTTAGAGACTGCTTTTCTATGAAGAAGTTTGGCATTGTAAAATCTGTACAAAAATCTCTATAAAAAGTCAGGTTTTACTTCATTACAAAAAGAATATTGTATTTTGATAACAAAAACAAAACATACCAAGCGAATGTCGGCAGCGTGAAAAAATCACAATTATAAAAAATAAATTATATTCACACAAAAGTTTCATTACCATTTTATAACCAAACACTATACTAAAACACTAAAAAAATCCAAAAATCAACACAATAACATTCACGTGAAAATGGCGTACGAAATTACCATAGATTATAAATAATTTTCCATAAGATAAATGGACTTTTTATTGCACTAGAGGATAGGAAATTCCATATTGATACTATAACGTCAAACTTCTTCATAGAAAAGTAGTCTCTAAATGTAAGTTTTAGTGATTTAAAATGCTGTCGACCGCTTGGGGGCTGAGGGGAAATCTATACAAAATTCTCTATCCTGTATTCTGAGATTAGAATAGCTTTTTAGCACCTTATTAACGGCAAGGTCCCAATCATGGATGGAATTACAACAGAGCTTCTGAAAGCAGGTGGAACACCGGTACTTCGAGTCCATCAGAAGCTCTTCAATTCTGTCCTCCATGATGGCACTACTCCAGAGGCGTGGAGTAGAAGTGTGGTGGTCTTGTTCATTAAGAAAGGCGACAACGCTCTCTTGAAAAACTACAGCCTGATTTTCCTTCTGAGCCCCATCTACATGCTGTTTTCGAGAGTCATTACAAATCATCTCGCAAGCAGACTCGACGATTTCTAGCCTCTGGAATAGGCTGGTATCCGAAAAGGCTTTAATACCATAGACAACACAGATACTCTGCTGCAGATTATACAGAAGACCGAAGAGTACAATTTGCCACTATGCATGGTGTATGTGGACTAAGAGAAAGCCTTTGATTCCGTCAAAATTTGGGCGGTGCAAAAATCTCTTCAGCGGTGCTAAGTTGACTATTGGCATACCAAAGTGCTGAAGTGTTTGTATAGTAGGGTAACGATAGCTATTCGAGTACAGAACCAGATTACAAAACCTATCCAACTGCAGAGAAGTGTCCCCGAACAACTTCACCGCTGCATTGGAGATGTTTTCAAGTACGGTATTGACATCAAAAGCGAGTACATTGCTCACCTTTAATTTGCCGACGATATAATTCTTATGTCAGAATCGCTGGAGGAACTAAGCACTATGCTCAATGAAAGCAATAGTGTCTCCCAACGGACAGGTTTTAATATGAACATGGGCAAAAAATAGATCATGTTTAATGTCCATGTCACACCTATACCGGTAGTTGTAGGGAGCACTAAGCTCGAAGTTGTTGAGGAGTACGTTTCATCATTCATCATCATTACAGCCCTTCACAAGTCCACTGCTCAATAAAGGCCTCCCCCAAGGTATGCCCCAAAGCACGGTCCTGAGCCACCTGCATCCATCGACTTCCTGCATAGGTCGTCACTACATCTAGTGGAGGGTCGCCCTACACTTCGGTACCCCATGGTAATGGCGGGGCAGGGAGTGCTATGAGTCTCCGGTGGAGGTTCGGTTGCCACTTACGACGAGGAGTACGTTTACCTGGGACAAATATTTCGACTAGTTAAGTCCAACTTCGACCGAGAGGTCAATCGATGGAATCAACTCGGCTGGGCAGCATTCGGGAGATTGCGACATATCTTCTCGTCAGAGATACCTCAAAATCTCAAAACCAGATTGTACAACCAGTGCGGGTTGCCAGTGACTCATAGACCTGAGAACTAGTCTTTTGCTGCTGGCCGTATGAGGTCGCGCAAGGTCGTTCAGCGAGCTATGGAGAGGGCTATACTCAAGGTTTCTCTTCGTGATAAACTTAGAAATGAGGATATCCGCAACAGAACCAGATTGACTGACATAGCCCAATGGATTAATAAGCTGAAGTGGCAAAAGGCCAGCCATATAGCCCGAAAAACCGACAACCGATGGGGAAAAATTTTCTCGATTGGCAGCCTCGTACCGATAGGTGTAGTGTAGGGCTATCCCTCACTAGATGGAGTGACGACCTAGTAAGACATGCAGCAAGTTGATGGATGTAGGTGGCTCAGAACTGTGCTTTGTGGTCTATGTTCAGCAGTGGACTTATAAAGGGCTGTAATGTTGTTGATGATGAGATATGTGTCTGGAAACTCCCTTATAAAATGTAAAAGATACAGTCTATATATGTGCCACTGCTGGACTCAGGCTTGATCTCATTTCCGAGATGATTTAGAGCAAGGAAATGTCCGCCGTACTGCCCCAATGCGTTTTGGCGAACTTATCATGTCTTCCAAATATTTTTTTTATTTCTCAGACATGCAGATCTTCTCACGTTGTTTTCCTTCATCGCCAAGCACGTCTTAAATTAGAATCTACAGTTGCAATCAGCAGTTTAATTAGTGCCGGTGGTGATCGAATCCAGGTTTCTAGCGTACTGTGAAATTAACAGCGAGCGCTAACCATCTCTCCCTTGTAAAATCAATCATTACATGATGTTCATGTACCGACTGAAAATCAGCGTCGCTATCCCGCGGCTTATGCTGAGGCGGTCCCTTCCGCCACTTCATCTGTTTCGATTATTAAGTCATGAATTGTTGTTATATCGCCTCTTTACAAGAACAACGTGACATCTCATAAAAACGTATTTTTTTATTACTTGATATTCAAAACCGCGATGTCGAATTTTATTATCTACAAAAACGCGGCATTTTAAAAGTGAATGTTCGAGGAGCTATTAGTGAAAGAGACGACACGACCGTGGCAAATGGCGTTATCACGTTGTCTCTTTCGGTGTGGCGCACGACTTGGACAACGCGACGCGTTAGTTTGCCCCGCACGCGGAACGAGTGAAGTGCTCCTGCTTTTCACAAAAAACGTGGCATCACGATTATACCACGTTTTTAGGGCAAAGGTATGTTTCTTGTTGTTATTTACTTTAACTTGAATAAAGTGATAGTACTAATTTAACTCGTTTTTGTTGTAAAACTCGTGAGTATTTAGAATGAGATAATGAATATTGACACATTATTGATGAAAAAGTTACAAGTTTTCTTTGTGATATCTTTGAATGTAACCATGTTGTTGATGAATCGTTATCAAATACTATGGGTTATTTTATTTTACATCATTATTTTTGAAAACCTTTAAGTTTGGGTTTATATTATGCTAAAATGTTACATTATACATGCTAAAATAAAGTAACTTTTACGAATTTGTTTTTCAGATGGCGTCACGATCTAGGATGTTAGTTCAATTAGCTACAGGTGTTAAAAATAATTTAAGTGTACAACTAAGTAATTCAAACTCTCACATAGATATTTTAACACAAGACGAGAATGAAAATGCCAAAAGTTCGACCATTACATTGCAGACATCAAAAGAAGGTATTTTATTACTTGCACTGATATTTTTTTTTAGTTATGTTCCTATAATTTCATTATTTCAATTCTCTTTGTAGACAAACACATCGCATTAAATTCCATCCGACCTCGTAGTAATTAGACTAGTAGCAGCGGTTCCTCTAGTTCTAGCAGTTCTTCGAGTTCTAGCAGTTCTTCAAGCAGTGGCCCATCTATGTATCAAGGTAAGTTAATTTATATCCCACTAGTCTCACAAAATTCGAGGGTAATTGATAAAGTCAATACCACACCACTACACTTCAAGAAATTGATTACATTTATAACGTTTCAGACAGCGACGACTCGGTAAAGGATCCTGATTATGAAGCCCAACCAACAAAACATGCTGAGTATTCTTCTGATACTGGCGAGGAACAAAATATCACTACCAACGATACAAATATTTCGGATGATCATAATTTGGTAACATCTAATATGGTTTCAATAAACATTGAAAACTACGAGGAACCACTTTCGTCTACAAACGAACATGCTGTGGTATTCAACGATCCAGGTGTCATAGAGAACAGTGAACTTTCTGCGATTGAAAACGTAAGCAACGAAAATGCTGCAAGTCCAATAGTATATAATTCTAGTCCAACTAAAACTGGTAAAAAAGAAGACTAAATGAAGCAAACTGGAAAGTTAATGTAGCTAAACGACTGAGAAATAGCGGTAAGCCTTATCAATCTACCAAATCAAAAAGAAACATGCCAAGTCGTGAATTGAAACCTTCTTGTAAAGATAAATGTAAATTTAAATGTGGGTTTAAATTTACAGAGGAGCAAAGACAGACAATTTTAAATGACTATTGGAGCTTAGGTGCAATAGAAAAACAATGGACGTTTATTGCTAATAACGTAGACATAATCATCCCAAAACAACGTTACGTTAAAGTTGATTCGGATGGAAATGTTGCAACTATTAGAAACAACAACAACGCTTTCTTTTTGACTATTTCGGGTGAAAAAACAAGAGTTTGTAAATTGTTTTTCAAAAATACTTTGGGGATTAATAATCGACCCATAGAGACTGCTTCGAAAAAGAAAAATAGCAACACTAATATTTCTTCCATGAAAGATAACCGAGGTATTCATTCAAACCATTATGCAGTGGACGAAAACATTAAAAATGGCATCAAATTGTTTATTGAGTCTGTACCAAAGATTGAGTCACATTATATCCGGGCTAACTCAAAACTAAATTATATTGATGGTAGTAAAGCTGTCACAGATCTTCATAGAGATTATGTGGAAAAATGCAAATCCCAAAACGTCCCATATGGAACCTACATTACATTTTATCGTATTTTCACACAATATTTTAACATTTCGTTTTTCACTCTTAAAAAAGGATTTATGCGGTATATGCGAAGTCTATAAAAACATCACAGATGAAGAGAAATAATCTAAGAAACAAGATTATGAATTACACCTTAAGGAAAAGAATTTGTCTCGTATTGAAAAAGAAAAAGATAAGAACAACAAAATTATTTTAGTAGCGCTCTATGATCTTCAAGCAGTGTTTCAATGCCCCAAAGGAGACGTCTCAGTTTTTTACTACAAGTCAAAACTAAATGTACATAATTTAACAATTTATAACTTACAAAATAATTCAGTTGAGAGTTATGTATGGAATGAGTCTAACGCAAATAGAGGTGTCAACGAAATAGCTACCTGTGTTTACAAATACCTGGAGAAAATTTCCGCAACGGCTGAAGACCTCGATGTAGTCTTTTATTCGGACAATTGTGCCGGACAGCAAAACAATAAGTTTATGATCTCAATGTACACTTACGCAGTCAAAACTCTGCCAAATCTTAGATCAATTACACATAAATACCTCGTTAAAGGACATACGCAGAACGAGGGCGATTCAGCTCACTCTCAAATAGAGAGAGAAGTAAAAAGGCAACTGAGATCAGGACCAATGTATACACCTGACGCTTTTATCGGGGCTATAAAGGCGGCACGGAAAAAAAGCGAGCCATTTCATGTCAATGAAATGTGTTTCGATGATTTTTTTTGATTGGAAAAGTATATGCACTCAAATGAACTTTGCGATAATGAAAGATGAAGACAATAATACTGTGAAACTGGCTGGACTCAAGATGATTAAAGTTCAAAGCTCTGATCCCGATGCCATATTTTCCAAAGAATCATACGCTGACGAATTATTCAAGAAAGCTATAGTGGTGAAAAAAAATAGAAATCGTAATAGCCAAAGCATTCATTTAATTTGCAAAAGGTCTATCTTCAAGAACCTGGACTAGCAGAGAGAAAAAAGCTGATCTCATGGATTTGGTCAATAAAAACCTCATTCCTAGATACCACAAGCCATTTTACGAATCGTTGTAATAAGACTGATTAAGTACAAAGATTTTTTGAATTGTATTTTTTAGAAATCTTTAATTGCTACATTTAAAATGATAGTATTTTTATTAGTATTAAGAGAATTTATGATTCTATGTTTATGAAGGGTGACAGCAATGTTCCTATTTTGAATTTCTAAGTACTATAAAACTGTGTGCCATAATTGTGTTAGAAGACGTTAATTACTATAACTTTAAGTACAGTAAACTTTTTTATTTTTTTATTTGTATGAAAGTAATTTTTTAGTTACCTTATAATTTTAATTAAAGCGAGTACTAAGTACTATGTGATTGATTGATCTCTTATTGATTATTGTGCCTTAAACTAATTTCTTGGTGTAAGTAAGCCATTGTTTTCGTAAATTTGTATTTTTTAAATACAAGATCTTTATTTTGATACTGTATTTTATTTAACTTATCACACAGCCTTACACCTAAATTTAACATTTTCAATGTGATATATCAAAATGTTACAAGCATTTTGTGACAAATTTTCATCAAAAACGTGACATGTTTGCCTTTGTTTTTTTAAATCAGGTTTTTTACTTATTTCTTATTGCACTGAGTTTTTTTTGCTTATTTTCAGAAAGCACATTAATTACCGCAACAATTTAATTGTTTTCCGATAGGAAAATAATCAATATTTTAGAAGTTATCAACGCTTAAATGTTTAAAATTGCTCTCCTGTAAAGTTGTGGTTTAAAAAATATCACGTTGTTCTTGTAAAGAGGCGATATCCTCTATTTTTTTTTTGTTTATTAATTTTCTTTATTTCTTTTATTTTATTCTTATTCGTCTTAATTTTGTTTACTAATTTGTGATTTTAATCTGAAGTGTCGGAATAAATGTCTTTATGTCTTTATATACTCCAGCAATACATAAACACGCTCAAGCTATACAAGAGCACGCTCCAGCATTACATAAACACTTTCCAGACATAGCACGAACACTTTTATTAACTTTACTCATTTCCCAATCATAATATAATTTTTTTGTAGTATAATTAACTTGTATTTCTATTATTTATAGCTTTTGAATATTTTAAGTAGTTTTAGAAAATTATATGAATTTAAAAATAATATAATTTAATGACCGAATTTAATTTATTTCAACTTAATATATGCTTATTGATGCATTTTAATTGTTAGGCGGCTTTATATGGAATTTAATTTATATTTATTATAAATAATAATGTGCCGTCACAATTCGTAGCAACATTTTGGACCTATTTCCATTTCCCATTGAGTGGGATTGTAAATAGTGCAATAATAAATCGCCTTCAATACAAAACTTGCATCATACAAAATCTATCCACGTAGTGTATTTCACAAAAATTTATTTTATTTAGTGGTAATAAATAATTAAGGTATTATTTTTAATGATTTGTATAATAAAGATAAAAATGTAGATGTTAATTAGGAATTGGCAGTGACAAATATTCAAATTTAATTTACAGTTAAATGAATTGAAGCTAACCGTGTAGTGGTCGTGTAATATTTGTTTGTATAATATGAGTATTGTATCTACTTTAACTGTATCACAAATATGTCTTCAATAGTTATAAAGAGTTTTACTGTATCTCACTTGTTCTATTGTGAAAGAGAATAGGGGACCAGGACACCCAACAAATTAAGAACAAAAATGAAGATTCCTTGTTCCCGTGGACGCCTTTTTTGAAAAGTCATGCCGACGACGTATACACCGAGTTCTACAGACGACCCGGAGTTCGTATAGAAAAACTAAAGATTCGGTTACACTACAACGTTGTGCTGTTCATATACCGCCTTCTTTTATCCTTACCCGATATCGTCCCGTGAATATCGTCAGAGGTGACGTAGGAAAATTAAAACAGGAAATGGGTAGCAGTATTTACCTGGTAACAATTTAAAATAATTCAAAAATCACTCCATGAGTAACGACACAAATGAACGGCCCCCAATCCCCGACGAATGTTTATTTGCTTTAATGGATCGATGGATATAAATTTAATGAGGTCGAAAATCCAACCATTAACGTTTAGATCAAACACTAATGTTCGTGTATTATATATCAAAAGGTATTATAAAACATTTGAAAGATTATTTGTGCATCGTCATCAATATCATTAGAGTAACACCAGATTTTATCAATGAAGTATCTGTGCTGTATTGGAAAAATGAGATATTATTTATATAAAAAAAAACTAATAAATCAAAATATTTAAACATGTTCTTGGCACCTATATCGGTAGTTTTTAGCATGAGAATCAATTAACTATTTACAGGTGTTTTTTACTGTTTTTATGTTATATAATATTGTTCAATTAAAATTTTGTCAAATCAAAAAGCTATGTAGATTTAGAAAAAGAGGACATCGTGATGGGGCAAGGTCTGTAAAATATATAGGATATGGAAAGGTCTTGATGGCCTAACCTTTACTATTTTTTCCAACGTAACTATAATGTAGCCCAGAGTGGTTATAAAAACCAATGTCAGTAGGTGAGAATTGGGGCTTCTGCGTCATTTGCTCTCGCTTTGCTCGAGCTACATGCCGCTGAAGGCCCCAATTCTTTCCAGTAGAGGACTAAATTTTTAGTCTAATTCTTGATCTGCCTTTTTTTGATCTTTGCTCCATTTCGAATACCGTTTCATTCTGAATCTCAAATACAACTAGTTCAATAATATAATAACAAATTATGAAGACTTATCTTCTGCATGCTTAAAATTCAAGGTGATACAAAAAAAAAACAGGTTACAAATAATGTAGGCACGTCTCTGAACTCCTTTAAACCCATCAACGGCTCTGAGCGGCGTCCGTGATATGACTATTTAAATCTCGCATACTGTTCATACAATAAAGAAGACTTATCTTCGAAAAAACTGACATTCAGCCCCTCATAAGGTGAATATGATGAATTAAAAAGACTCTTACATCTCGTATGTGACATTGGTCAAGCTCTACCATTGATAATTTCGCGTAATGTTTGTGGTTGGTTTGTAAGGGGATGACCACAAATTGTTTTTTCTCTATTTGCGATGAAGTTTTTATAGACCAAGTATGTTTACGTATTTTGCGTAGCAATGGATACTCATATAAATCCCAGGAACTGTATCTTTATACTATATCTTTCTCTAAATGTTTTAATAGGTTGATTCTTTCACCATCTGATACTTCGATGTATGGAACCCGCCAAACAAATTTATTTATTATTATATCCACTACAACTTCCCCTGTATTTAGCTTGATCGCATTAAGATTTGTATTACTTCTAAATAAT